TAAGGAGCAGCTGGTGAGCTTGAACCACCGACCTTGCAGTTCAAATAGCTTTGCAGTCTGGTGCATTAACCCACAGTGCCACACCAGGACTCTTGTAGGCTCTACTATATTCTATGCTCTATTCCTGGGTCTATTGGTAACACGCACACATACTTAAAGAGAAATAGCCTCTGTCCTCTGCCAAGCCTATATATGGGAGTCCTGGTGTGGCGGTATGGGTTAATGCGCTGCACTGCAAAGTTGGTTTGAATTGCAAGGGCGGTGGCTCAAGCTCATCAACTGCTCCTCGGAAACTCTATACATGGTCTCTATGGGTCAGAACCGACTCAATGGCACTAAACAAACAAAACACACCTGTATATACACTCAAGTTTGAACTCCCATATGCTCTCCTGCATGCCTTCCCACATAGCTTCATCAAGTACGTCACTTGTAGATTGTTTGTTATTACTATTATTGCAGGGTTGTGCATGTAATAGTGTTTACTATTGTTATCTTATACTATTGCATACCTTCCTCTGCCTTGTCCACATTATGCTGACCTCTCCCTTATTTATTTATGTATTGAAAAAATTTATATTTAGAATTAGCCAGCTGGACTCAGTTGAGATGATCCCAATTTTGTTGGCAACATCCAAAGCATCACGGTCAAGAGTCAGTGGAACATACGCCTTCTTTTCTTCCTCAGGCCTGATGAAGGTGTTGACCTTAGCTACATCAATGTCATAGAGCTTCTTCGCAGCCTGTGTGATGTGGTGCTTGTTGGCCTTGACCTCCACACTGAACAGCAGTGTGTTATTATCTTCAGTCTTCTTCAGGGCTGACTCCAGTCTGTAGTCAGAGGGAACTTGATGATGGCATAGTGGTCAAATTTGTTTCTCCTGGGGGAGCTTTTCCGAGTGTATTTGGGCTGTCTGCGGAGCCTTAGAGTCTTGGGCCACCGGCAGGTGGGTGACACGTGGATCTTTATTTTGTGGACGCCTTTCAGCACTGTCTTCTTGGCCTTCAGTGCTTTGGCTTTGGCTTCAGCTTTGGGAGGGGCAGGGGCTTCCTTCTTTGCTTTCCGCCTCATCTGCGTAAAAAGGCTCTTTCATATTTTTTACCGTCCATTCCCTTTTGGCTGATGGTTTGTAATGAATGTGATCATGACATGCCACCACATGACACTCTGTGTTGTCATGTGAGGAGTGGGCTGGTGACTTCATCTCATTCTCTCTTCACGGACACTAACCTAAGTGTAGGACAGGGCATCTGCTGAGACAGACATTATACTCCTTAAGTTCACCTGGTTTTGTTCTTCTTTTAAAATCTTTTTTCTTATGAACTGAGTGAAGGTTTACAGAGCAGATCATGAGTTTTACTTTCAGCAAATCATGTGCTTTGTTTCATCTCAATGTAACATGGAGTCCCCTCCATGTGACATCACTTCTCCCATTTCCTCCCTGTGGCTCCTGTTTGTATTTCTTCGCCGTTTCCCACCCTTGTGGACTTGGTCCTTTGGGAGATGCTGCCCTTTTGACCTGGAATGGTTGACCATTCGAGGGTATGCATACCTCACTAGTGTTGTTCTTCTCTATCTATTGCTTGGCTGCAAATTGAGCTAGGGGAGTAAGTTCAGTTTCAGATCTGAAGAGTGACCATGTGCCATAGTTTGAGGGTTCCAGCAGTCTCTAGCTAAACAATAAGCCTGTTCTTTGTGATTCTGAATTTGTGATCCCTTCTGGAGCAGTAGGTATAGTGGTAGTGAGGCACCATCTAGTTCTTCTGATTTCTAGGTCATGGGGACTAATGCTCACGTGACCCATTAGTCCAGTGGACTGATTGTTTCCAAGGAACTTCAGTTTGCATCTCTCTTCTTTCCTCTGGAGAGGGTGTTGCACCGTTGGTGGCTGCTCATGAACTTACAAGATCCCAGTCACTACTGGCCAAATAGGATGTTGAGCATTGTTGTTGTGGACTATGTTATGTTGAGCAAGGTGATGTCCCTTCAGCCAGTAGTCCCAAGCCCAGCAACTCATTCCTTCCAAGTTATGGTAATATCTAAGACATTTTCATCACTTCGCCCCTCCCAACCCCCCATATGCTCTTCCACATTTATAGATACGTTTGCAGGAAAGGTAAATAAATACTCAGGTTCCAATACTCTCCATCAAACCTTTATATACCTGTGGCTATTCTCCAACTCCCCCTGCCAGATCTGTTCAGCCTGTGTACCTGTCTGTGTTTCCACCTAGAGATCACTGTTATTGCAGATTGTACATAGATCCTCATTTACTCTGTTCCCTTTAACTCTTGTATTCCTCCTCATGTCTTCCTCTGCCTTCAGCATCCTTCTGCCAACATCCCTCTCGTAGATTGCCTTCCCCATCACCCAGACTAACAAGTTCACCTGTTTTTACTCTTTACATTTAAACTATTTGTTTTACAAGGCTTAGTTTTTTGAAAATCCCGTTAATTTGTTTTAGGGCTCCATTTACTACAACCAAGACGGCACCTCTTGGTACGAAGGAGACTGGGTGTACAACATCAAAAAGGGCTGGGGAATAAGATGGTAGGTATGAACGCAAACTCATCTGGGGTGTGGGTGAGAACGGTGCGCAGGCCCACATAGTTTCCATGCAAGATAATTAAAGGTAAGGTGCTGAATTTACAGAAAACACATGTCTCCTGTTGTAAGTAGGGTCAACTCTTTAAGTTAACCCCAATATGGTGCCCTGGATGGTTAAATCATTCTGCTGGAATTTCAGAAAAACACCATATTAAACGATGGCTAATTGTGTGATTCCACTTTACTTTTCGTACAGACTGCCTCTCTTCGTTCTGAGTCATCGAGAACCACCATTATTTTCTTAGCTGTATGTCTTCCGTATTTGCTTGATTTTAGTTTATTTTGTATGCAGTGCTATTTTGTTGTTGTTGTTGTCATTTGAGTGAAAGTTTGCTGAGCAAATTCGTTTTCCATCCTACAGTCTTATACACATTTTTTTTTTGGTGACAGTGGCTGCATATTTGCATGACTTTTAGATTGAACTGTGGAATCTAATATGCTAAGGATTCAAATATCTGGGGGAGGAGAAAAAATGAACTAATTATAAACTATACTATAGGGAATGGTTTAAGAGACATTAGAAGGGAGAAGAAACAGACACTCTTATCCATTCTTTCACCCAATTAAAGAACCAGAAGGTTTACAAAAGTGATTTATTCTGATCCCCGTGACAATTATTTCCATAACCCAAAACTGTCCACTGAACTCAAATACAGGGAGGGTTGGATGGGCCCAAGGTTTGCATTCCTTAACAGATGTGTAGGGAGAAAGTTTGAGAACAAATCCTAAAGGTGTTGTATATGAGGTGACTGATTGTTTTGTCATTTGTTCATTTTGCCATAGTTACAAGTCCGGGAACATTTACGAAGGCCAGTGGGTAAACAACATGCGTCACGGGGAGGGAAGGATGAGGTGGCTGACCACCAATGAGGAGTACACCGGACGATGGGAGCAGGGGATCCAGGTATGGCGGTTCTCAGCATTCTATACCCAGCTGTGAGTGCTCTACAGAGCGTCAGCAAAGAATGTGATGGAAGCATCATTGTTCACTGTCGATGAGTTGGTTCTACGTAATGGCAACCTCGTTGTTGTTGTTAATCTGTTTTAGGGCCGCTGAGTTGGTTCTGACTCATATGATCCTGTACAGGGCTCTCCAAGGAGCAGCTGATGGGCTTGAGCTGCCAACATTGCAGTTAGCAGTCCAGTGCTTATCCTACAGTGCCTCACCAACACTCTTGGCAACCTGATTCGAAGCTCAAATGACTACTGACTGGTCTAAGCCTTACTTTTATTTTTATAATTGATTTTTGTGGGTGGCGAGTATTCGCACAACAGAACAAACACCGATTCAGTTTCTGCCATCAGTGACATTGATTACGTTCTAAACCTGATGCTTTGATTGATTGATTTAGTCTTTTCTAATGGCCTCACATACAAGCTAGGTTCCGTCATTGGCAAATCCATGAAGCAATGACTCCCAGGAGACAGAAGCTGTTTACTATAGAAACTAGATGGGGTCCCTGGAAGGTGCAAGCAATTAAGTGCTCAACTGTTAGCCAAAAGGTTGGTGGTTTGAATTCACCTAGAGGCCCCTCGGTTTGCTTCTGAAAGCTTGCAGCTTGTGAAATTCTGTGGAACCCAGTTCTCACACTACACACGTGAGGACACTGTGAGTTGGGATCGGCTCAGCAGCAGCTAATTACAGAAGCTGTGCATTTCTGCACAGAAAACAAGAACCGAATATAGTTAATTTTATAAAACTTACACATACTTGGGTATCTGATGATTTCATATTGATCTAGGAGTCGGCTACCTTCCTAAACTCACGTACTAGTTTGGGCAGCTTTTTTGTAGATTTGTTAAGTTCTCTGTGCGGTTTGCCTTGTTTTATTGTGATTCACATTACTGTACTTCACAGATAGCAGGGGACTTCAGAGAGTTTGTGGGAAATTTCCATTATCTTTTATTTGCATTTTCCCTCAGTCTTTGTGAAGCCCCCTTTATAGTGCATTTATTACAGATTGAAGGTTCATGACAGTCATATGCCAAGCAAGTCTACTGGCGCCATTTTCCCAACAGCGTGTGTGTGCTCTGGGTCCCTGTCACAGTGTGGTTTCACTCTGCTGTGGCCTTCGCTCCATCTTGGCGATCTGGAACAGAACCAGCAGTAGCTCCAAGAATATGTGGAGACAGTCATGTTGTCTACAACTGCAGTCAATTTCATAGCTTTCTCTCCTGTATGCTTATGTTCTTTGACCATTTTACACTGGCTGTGTCTTCCAGTACAACATAAAGTAGGAGTAGGAAGAGCGGACATCCTCGTAGTGCTTCTAATCTTACTGGGGAAGAATTCTGCCTTTTGTCAAGTGTGGCATTAGCTATAGATTTTTCACAGGTGCTGTTTGTCAAGGGGAAGAAATCCTCTTTATTTTTTTTATAATAGTCTGGGTGAAAAGTTTCCAAAGCAAATTAGTTTCCCATTCAACAATTTATACACATTTTGGTTCATGACCTTGGTTTGTTCCTCCCTCAGTGTAACAGCACTCTTCCACATGTGAAGATGGGGTCTCCATCTTCACAAGTCCTTCTTCCCTGCCCTTTCCTGCCTTCTGAGCTTTGTTTTTGCACAAATGTGGCCTTTTTGATATCACGTGACTGATGGTTTTGAAGAGTGTGTTACTCCCTAGTGGTGGCATTCCCCTTTGTTGTTGTTAAGTGTTGTTGAGTTGGTTCTGATTCAGAGCAACCCTGTATAGGGTTTCCAAGGAGCAGTGGTGGATTTGAACTGCTGACCTTGTGATTCACAGTCTGGTGCTACAGCACCACACCGGGAGTCCATCCACTCTTGAGGCTGTCTGTTGTTTGACTGAAAGTTGCTCCCCAAAGGTGGGCTCAGGCCCAGGTTTGAAAGATGTCTAAGAGCCACAGTTTTGAGGATTACACCGGTCTCTTATCACACCAGCAAGTCTGCCTTTTTCATACATTTTTCATTCTGTCCTTCACTCTTTCCTTCCCTAAGACCTTGTATTGTGATTCCACTTACAGTACATATGTGGTAGTGGTCATTCTTCGGGTCTCAGGGTAGCGGGGACTGTGATTCAAGTAGCCCATAGTCATTGGAGAAATTGTTACCATGAGTCTGATTTTCTTTACTCCTCTTTGCTCCAGATGAGAGGAGACCAATCAGTGCATCTTAGATGGCTGCTCACATGCTTTTAAGACCCCAGTTGCTGCTCACCAAAGTAGGATGTAGAACGTTGCCTTTATGGACTGTGCCATGCCAGCTGACCTAGATGTCCCGAGACTGAAGAAACACACTGTAATCCTAAATTTGCTTCTTTTTCCTAAATCGTGAATGGACTTTCTTGTTAAGGGTTCTTCCTACCTCTGTTTGGATGATCGTGTGACATGTTGGCATGTTGGCTACATTAGGATGTGTCTCTTGCATGTGTGGATCACATATGTTGCTGTCCCGTGTCCAGTCCATTCTGTAGTTCTGTGACTGATGTATCTGGTGTGTTCAAATGATCACATGTGGTGTTTGGGGTAGCATCAGATCCTCACTCGTGCAGTTCCGGGATATGGCCAGGAAATCATAAACAACTTTAAGGGAGTCACTTACAACAGTTCCTCCCTTTTTGTGAATTTCCCAGGACCCCTTGGGCTCCTCTAGCTGGTCTTCCAGCCAGAAACGCTGGGATTTTAATGACCCTACTCTTATACACTCTGGGTGGTGCAGATGGTTAATGTCCTTGGCTGCTAACTGGAAGGTTGGATGTCAGTTTCCCCCAGAGTACCTCAGGAGAAAGGCCTGGTTGTCCAATTAAAAAAACCAAAATCAGTCATTATCCACACATAGTCCAGTGAATAGAATTGAGAATCTGGAAGCCAATCCACCCCTCCATGGGCAGCTGATAACACCTGAGTCCTGACTGTGGCTACTAGAGAATCAGCTGGAAATGTTGGCTAATGGGGATTTGTTGGTGAAATGGAAGTATGGACAGACAATGGGACATCATTAGACTGTTCTGAAAAAGTGAAATCTTTGTACACTGACATGGAAATATAGCCACAATCGTTTTCATTAATGTAGTGCTGCTAGAACAAATACCATGAGTGGTTGGCTTTAGCAAACAGAAATGTATTCTCCCATAGTTTGTTGTTGTTAGGAAGAGCCATCAAGTTGGTTCCAACTCATAGAGACCCTGTATAGGGTTTCTGAGGAGTGGTTGGTGGGTTTGAACTGCCAGCCTGGCAGTTAGCAGTCCAGGTGCCATGTCAGGACACCTGCTTAGGAGGCTAGAAGTCCCAATTGAGGGAGTAAAATGTAAGGGAAGGCTCTCTGTGTGTGTTGGCTATTGGGGAAGGTCCTTGTCATCAATCTTTCCTGGGTCTAGGAGTTTCTCAGCATAGGGACTCCGGGTCCAAAGGGCATGTTCTTCTCCCATCTCTTCTTTCTCGGTGGTATCCTTGTTCCTCCTCCTCTGTGCGCTTGGTCAGTGTCTTTTATAGCTCAGTAATGTAGATTGCATTCCATCTCATTAACACAACCGTCTCGAATCCTGTCTACATACACCACAGAGGTGTGGAGCTCCAGCATGTGGAATGATGACATCAGGTGACAACAAAGCCGGATAATTATGTAATGCTGAGAATCATGACCCAGCCAAGTTGACACATTTCAATCCGTAACTGCAACATACTTGTAACAAACAAGATAAGTTACAGAACAGAAGACAGAACACCACTCCCTAGTGGAAAAAACTGTGTCTGTGCAAAGGGGCTTCAAAATGTTTGTAGGAGAATTCCATAACCTTTTCTCTGCATTTCTCCGTGAACATTTTGAAGTCCCCCTTCTATGATATGTTGATTTAGTATGCAGGATTGTATTTGTGGTTACCTCAGGAATTGGGATTGACGATGGGGTACTTTGTATCAATCTCTGTAGGATAAGCATTGGACTGCTAACCACAAAGCGGGGTGGTTGGAACCTACCAGCTACTCCACAGGAGAAAGATGAGGTTTTCTGATACTGCAAAGATATACAGCCTTGGAAATGGGGTCTCTATGAGTTGTTGGGAACTGACTCAGGGGCACTTAACAACATTTAATAAAGAAGTAAAAGTCAAAGGGCAATCAAAATGAGCAGCATCATGTTTACATATATGACCTTCTATCCTTACTCCCAGTTGGCCAGGTAGATACTGTTTCCATTTTACAGATGAAGGTCCCAGTAGGCGTACACAAGATGCTGTATGTCTTGTTCAAGAGGGTGGAGAGCTGAACTTGGACCCAACTCTGTGGGACTCCAAAGCCCAGGTCCCATCCGCCTCACAGTGCCCACCACCCCTGCACACGAGTCTTTTAATGTAACCCATGTAGAGTTCTAAACTGAAAATATTTTGAGCACTTCCCATCGCCATTGGCTTTCTTTCCAGAATGGCTTTGGAACGCACACATGGTTTCTGAAGAGAATCCCCAACTCCCAGTACCCTTTGCGAAATGAATACATCGGGGAGTTTGTGAATGGAAGTCGACATGGAACCGGGAAATTTTACTATGCCAGTGGAGCCATGTATGAGGGAGAATGGGTTTCCAATAAAAAACATGGCATGGTGAGTGCAGACCCGCAGCCTTTGCCTCTTAGAGTTGATGTGAAGCAATGGGAGATGACGTGTTTCTCCATTCTGTAGAGGGTAACTTACTGTTTTGTGAAGAAGAGTGTATGTGCTTTAAAATAACTTATAATACATCATCAAATTTCCTGCTTATTGAAACGTTATTTAGTGAGACTGTGTTACTGTTGTGGGGGGCGGGGGGAGTAGGGTGATTTTGGTTGCAAGCATAGAAAAATCCAGCCTGAGAGGGAAGAGTGTGTGCTGTAAGTGATACAGGTTAAAGTGACTTTAGGGTTGGTTTGGTTCAGTGACTGACTCACTGGTGTTTGTGTCACCTAGTTTACCTCCTGTCTGTGCACTCTGTGCTCCTCCCCCCCCCCCCCCCCCCCCCCCCCCCCCCCCCCCCCCCCCCCCCCCCCCCCCCCCCCCTCTCCCCCCCCCCCCAGCACCATGTCAGCTCAAACTTTGTGGTTTCCCTTCCTCATGAGTACAAGATGGCTGCTGTGGCTCCAGACCTCACATCCACATACCACACTAACTAGAAGACACAGAATGCTTCTCTGAGGTCTCCACAAGTGTCTGTAGTTTCATTTGAGCTGAATTGGATGTTTTGCCTGGGTTTGAGCAGTATCAGAAAACTACCTATTTGATGGGTGCTCTGCTGGTTGCTGTTGTCATCGAGTCGACTCCAATTCCTGGTGTCCCTGTATGTCAGAGTAGAACTGTACTACACAAGGTTTTTAGTGGTAAATACTTAGGAAGCAGATTGCCAGGACTTTCTTACAAGGTGCCTCTTAGTGGATTTGATCTTCCAACTTTTTGGTTAGCAGTGAAGCGTGTTAACCATTGCATCATCCCAGGACTAGCATAGATTAGTAAAATGCAGTCTGTAATGACCCACCCACCCACTGCCATCAAGTTGATTCAGAATTCTGGTGACCCTGTGGGACACAGTAAAACTGCTCCATGGGGTTTCTGAGACAGTAAATCTTCACGGGGACAAACAGCCTCCTCGTTCTCCTGAGAACTGGCTGATGGGTTTGAATTGCCAACTTTGTGTTTAGCAGCTCAATGCTTAACCCACTGTGCCACCAGTGTTCAAACGAGTCCTGGTGTGGCGCTGTGAGTTAATACACCAGACCGCAAAGCCGTTTGAAATGCGAGGTTAGCGATTCAAGCTCACCAGCTGTTCTTCGGAAACCCCATACAGGGTCGCTATGGGTCGGAACCAACTCAACGGCACTTAACAACAAACAATAGGTTATAGGGCAGGCATGGAGAGCGGAAAAGAGACTTTACGCAGTGACAAGGGACTCCAGGAGTCTGGTATATGTGGACTAAGTGGATAACTTAAACCACTGTCGTAGTTCCTAGCACGGCTGAAACAGAAATGCAACAAGTGGGTGGCATTTAACAGAGAATTTTATTCTCTCTCTGTTTAAGAGGCTCGAAGTCCAAGTTCAGGGTGGTGGCTACAGGGGAAAGCTTTCTTTCGGTTGGCGCTGGGGTTAGGTTCTTTTTTTTTTTTTTTTTTTTAGTGTTTTATTGTGAATTATATGATAGTTTACATGAGAGAACCTCAGTTCCATATTCATTCCATCGTATATCATTACATTGCCATGGTTCCAATCCCCTCCATGCATCGTCTTCCGACCAAAGGGCATATCCTAAAAGCCCGTGCTTTCCCTCCACCCTTCCCCCTCAGTCTTCGGCCCACAGTTCCTGTCCCTCTCTGGATCCAAAGTCCCCAGCTGCTTCATCCCTCCATGTCATCATCTCTGTCTCCATCTCAGGCATCCCCGATTCTCTGGGTGGGGGTCCCGTTCTTGGCTCTTATCCGTTGGTGGTCCCAGAGACCTCCACTCCTAGACTAGACTGGAGAAATAATCGCTCTCTTCCTTGCTACAAAACATCTACCCTTGCATTTCCAACACTCACAATCTGTCTTGATAACCATTATTCACTACAGTATTGCACGTTACCCATCTGTGTTTCATTTCATCAGCTCCACCTAGACAAATTGGATAGGACTCACTGGTGATTCTGCCTTCCTCCATGGCCCCTAGCTCTAGGTTCCCTCTTGAAAGCTTGTAAGCCAGTTACTTCTTGCCTTTGTAGTCCCTCCCTCCCCATTTGGGTATTCAATGTCCAAGTTGCCCCTCTCTGTCTACTCTGTGTGTGGAGGGGGTGGGAATGTTTCTTGTTGTAAGAATTTATCGCCTCTTTTGTGTCATGCATTCGTATGCGTAGGTCAAGTTCATCAGCTTGGATCAGCTCAATCTTCTTCCCCCGCCCCCCTTTTTCTTTCTTCTCCTGGTTGAGCTCTGATCATCCAGTCATCCAGTCCCGGTCATGTGGGTGTCATCTACAATGTGTTCTTGTGCACATGCCCTCTCTTCCCATCAGCCGGCAGCTCCATTCTCCACTTGAGTCCTCCGTGGCCAAGTCACTGACTGGGCCCAGGAGTCCTTGGGTCTTCTTGCACTGCTTGCCAACCAGGTCCCCAACCGGGTCCACAGAAGCCCTCTGAATATTGTGAGGCTTAGCTCGTCGCTTCATTGCTGCCTTTACCCTCTTTCTCCCCATCAGTGATGCGTGTGTTTACCAATCCAAGCGTGCATTTCCACCGAGTCTCAGTTTTGGTGGGGGGGCCTACATTGGTGGGACCCGACCGACTACCCCAATGTCTCCTAGGGGAGCAACCCGTCTGTCTCCATTGTGTCGTATTTTTCCTGTAGGTCTTCCATTCGAGACTTATCTTTTGTTCTTCTCACCGTTCCATGCTCCTCAGCTCTTCCCTTCAAGTGGGGATTTCTCATCTCTGGTGGTCTGGATGTGGTTCTGGTTTCTACCTATAGTTTTATGTGTTGCAAAGGCTCCGCAGGAAGCCTCGTTCACCGGGTACGCTGTAGCCCCGTTTTAGGTATTCCAATCAGTTAAAGGCAGAAGATGGACTTACAAACCTTCTAATGTGATATTTCTGACTATTCCTTTCTCTCCCCCTCCAGTGTCTACTCTATATTATAATGCAAGGGAAACCAAGATTCAAAAAAAAAACAGTCAAGCATCTTAACACAATTCCCCGCCCATTCCAACCATGGGTCAATCCCTGTATCTCAGAGCCCTGGAGCTCCAAGGCTGTGCACACATCGTCCTTTATCTCTGTCCCACTTGGTCTGCCTAAACACGCCCTATTGTTCTCCCATCTGCCCCTTTTCTCCAATTCCCTCTCCCTCCCTGTATATTGCCCCCCTCCCCATCACCCAAGCTCTCCTGAGCCCAATCCCCGCCCTGTGCGCTACCCTCCGCCCTTCCCCCAACCCACCACCCATTTCCCAGCAACCAACAATAACTTACCCCTACCCCCCTTTAGTATAATTTCTTTTTCTTAGTCTTTTACAGTAGTGATCCCATGCAGTATTTCTCTTTTTGTGACT